TTTTCGTATGTACATACTTCGTATATTTTATTGTTCGTCGTCCAGCACGATCGTTTCGTAGTGCCCGCCGTCCCCAACGTTCCTTCGCAGTCCGGCCGGACATTGACGTTGTTGGTGGATACGCCCACGTTGGATACAACACCTCGTGGAAGTCGGCAGGCGGAGCCTAGTTTGCGTCGAGATTCGCCCTCCGCGAACCAAGCATGGTTGCGTGTCTTCGTTTCGTCGGACATGCATGCTAGCGCACGTCATTTTTAAGGCATGGCGTTGCCCGTTCGTTGTGTGATTAGATTTTACTATATGTATTTCTCTGTTTGAATGCCGTACGACATAGTACCTCGTGCGAGCTCCGTAAACGTTTTCAATTATGATTGGAACGTACGTTCGTTATAGACAATCGTGCGTGGTGGGAAGCGTCCATTGCCGTTGTGTCGCTGTCCTTGAGATACGAGTGCGTCGTATCGGGTCAGTTGATGCTTTATGTGAGCGAATATGCGTGATCGGAAGTTCGTCGTTTTCTCGTCCACTCCGTCCTGAATTGGGGGGTGATATCGTCTCACTTGCAGTTTGGGGGAATTGCAATTGATAATCGACTTCTGGATCCATGCACTTTTGCATTGTTCACACGGTTTTGTTCATGCCCGATTTGTCTTGTCGTTTGTGTGGTGGATTTTCATCCCACACATCGTTTCTCGCGTGTCGTCCATCGCGAAAGAGTAGATGGTGGTCTTGGCCGTGCAAGAGGAAGCACAAGAGGACCAGACTTTCGTTCCACTACTGCGTCAAATCCATGCTACAGCACATCGTTGGCTGTACTCGTAATCACCATTCGTCGTCGTTCGTCTATGCAGCACCTCTCAATTGCGAGATCGCATGAGAAGGTCGTATCGTTAGCTCTCCACGAGCTGTGCACATATGTTCGTTCGTTGTTGCCGCTGCATATCGTTTGAGCAACGTTTTCCCAGCGGGTCGACCCACGTCATTTGCCATTCGACACTTGTGAAATTTAAGCCTTGCAAGCAACCGTCTTTCACATGTGCAATGTCAAATTATTTTTCGTTGCTGGATGTTCGTTACGTGCAACTACCAAGCAGTTCACGGCGTTGTCTCAAGTTCCTACTGTACAGTTTTTTTTACACTATCGGTGCAAGACGCGCACCGGAGTGATGTTTTTTTCTGTACACACGTCGTTCGTCGTACGGTAGATCACATGTTGCCTACAGCGCCGAGGCGGACTGAAGTGACATGTTCCGTACACCTTTCGTCATCTGTGTAGTTATTCGTTCGTCGTACGGGAATAGTTGCCAAAATTCCTGAATTGCTCTCGTGCAAGCTGTAGTGGTGACTGCGCTATGTACGATCGATGCTCGGATGAGATATTTTGGTGACACGTTCCAAATTTCATAACTACAAAACACAAAGCGTTCGTTGAATGATGGCAGTCGCCGTACGTTTCGGCCCAAGTCATTCAACTCATGTTTTTCATCAGTACTTCACAATTTAATACAATCTGAGGTATTTATGTCATTCTTGTATCTTTCAATCCGGATTCAGGCCCCGAGATTGAAGATAGGGGGGTGATGTGAATGCCACCTCAGACCGTCGTAGATTGTGACGTCAGATGACCTGTCGGAGATCTACCTTCGGGGTGTTACCACAGATAGAGTCCGTGCAGGTTGGATGCTGAACCTTGCTTCAACACAAGGTTGATCCCCACCTGCCTCACACACACACACTCGACTCAACGTTCCGTACATCAGCCTCTCCACCAGAGGTTGATCCGGTGTGTATCCACACCGCCCATCCCTAAGGGAACTTGCTCACACGCGAACCTGGAGACAACAGTCTCATATGTGTGTTTATATTATTAGCATCGACCGCGCTACCCGGCTGACCAATTAAAAGACGTCAGTGCCAGCGGGTGAAAATCAAGGTCCCTGGAAGGGGGCCGAAATTCGAAAAATGCGCAATGCGCTTGATGCGTGTGTGTGTGTGTGTGTTCTTTAGATCTTCTGATGGCTCTAGCATTTTTGTGACCACGGACCGAGTCTTCGCTAGATTTTGGATTAGCAACTGACACGAGTTTAATGTGAAGAAAACAACAACAACAACAACAACCCGCATCGGCTCACCTGCCGTGTGTGCGGCAGGGTCAGCGCACCTACCTCACCTGCCGTGTACGGCGCGGCCAGGGTACTTACTACTTCCACCGCCATTGGCGTTGGAACCAGCCACCAAGGGGACTGGCACCAGTCCAAGATCGATCGTTGGTTTTCTGCGTGTGAAAGCTTTCACCTCGGCGCTCCCGCCACTTCTCCAGGATACATCCGAGAATGCCGACGAAAATTCCAACGACTTCCAGGTCGTCGGCAAGGATGGCGCCTTTCGTGTCGACTGGGGCCGCACTGCTAGCGCTACTCGTGCTGTTGTGCAGCATTGTGATGGCCGCTACGCAGGTTGCCGGAACAGAGCGTCGCCCCCCTACCAGTGGCCCTGCTGCTGCAGCGGGCGGAGCAACACCCGTGCGCCCCGGTTCGCCACTGCTTGGGCAAAAGGTAAGGCAGGACAGGATTTGTTCTACATGCGACATGGTACCACTGCTTCCTGTGATTGCGCGCCGCTTCGGAATAGTCTAGAATATCTGTGGGCGTTTTTGTTTCTGCATGGTCCGCAAGGATCAGTGCTAAAATAGGTAGGACGCGATACACTCTTGACTGCATCTCGCCTGGGTGTATCATGAGCTTTCATCTCCCGATGGAGAAGAGGTGGTGTTGGTATGCGTGCACATTCCCGTATGTATAGCGACACCCACACCCCACAGCTTCCTCGACGCCGAACTGCTACTGCTGTTCCTCTTTTCGCACAATTATGGATCCTTGCAAATAAATATTGCTCACTGTAGTTTATTTCACGATCATCACATCAACCATTCCACTCTCCCTTCTTCCCCTCGCTCCTCGACAAGCTTTTGCTTAGACATGGGTTGTAGTGAAGGGGGGGGTCTTTCTGGCGAGCAGGGCTAGACTCACCCTCAAGGGATGACCGAAACCTTCTTGCTGCTGCGCATATCCGCCGCGAGGCATGCGCGTGGTGGTGTAGTTGGGTCGGC